TAGACACATCTCCCCCCTACTTCCATTACCTTTTTTCTGGGCTTTCTCTCTTAATTGCCCAAAGCTGATCCATTGCTGGAGCACTAAAGCATTTCAAATCACTTCCATGGTGCTAACCCAGCAGCTTGTCTCAAAAAAAAGGAAATATAAATATACATGGACCTGGAGAGATCGTATGGGTGGCATTATAGTTCTCCTAAACACTTAAATCTATCTCCTTTTTAACCTATCCTGGTAACATGTTGCCTAAACCTTACATTTTAAACCTAAAAAATATCTAAATATTGTCCAACTTCCAGTGGCTTTTACAAATAAAATGTAACTTTCTGACATGCACTAAATTACCCAGCATTGTTTCTTGTCAACTATTCCTGTTTTTCTACACAAACGTGCCTCCAAGAGTCCTATCCATCATCCAACACCAGATCTGCAGGTTCAATGTCGACGTGGCATCCGAAAACAACCCGCAGCCACCAGTAAACAAAACCCTCCTCGGCTTAATGATCAGCCCTCCTCAGGGTCATTATTACTTAATCAATTCACCCCTGGAGCGAAATACGCAGCCCAAAGGCAATCAAGTCACGGACATTGATTTTCAGCCTGTAAACAAAGTTTAGAGAGACAGAAATGTTCAATACTTGCTGGAGAGAGACACAGGGAGAGGTGGAGAGATAGAGAGAGAGCAGGAAGGTGGAGAGTGCGGGAAGGAGATTGAAGAAAGAAAAGTAACACAAAAAAAAAAGCCACGTCCGATTACGAACCATTGTGCTGCACCGCGATGCCATTAATTACACTCTGTGGCAGATATTCAGAGCAAAGGTCATGCATAGATAATCCGAAGACAAAATAAAACCCTATAAAGAATAATCTGACATTGCATGGATCACTTTGCAGCCACGCAATCCGGACGGGGGGAAAAGGAGGTAAAAACGCATGCAAGTGGACGGCAGAAATATGGACGGACACAGAAAGAGAGAGAGGGAGGAAGAGGGAGAGCATCACCTACCGGGTTCCTGATGAGAAGAGCTCCCAAGGTGCTACCAGCTCGCGACCGTGTGACGGCACATTACCGCGAGGCGATACGTGGGGGAATAATAACGCAAAGATGCGAGGAGACTGCACGAGCTGCCGGGGGAGAGCGTGTGTATGTGTGCGCGCTCAAAACAAAAGGAGCATTTTTATCGACTTTCTTGTCACGTTAAAAAAAAAAATGTTATGGAAAGTGCATAAATAAGCCAAAAGGGTGAAATCGCAGAGTGTTTCCTCTCCTCTGTGTTGTGTGGCTGCTGCTCTCTGCGCTCGTGCCTCCTGTCGCTGTGTGTGGCTGATTGGTGCTGAGGTGAGGAAGCAGGGATGTGGACACCTACTGATCATTGGCTGGAAATTACTATAGAAACACTCGGGAGGTGGGAGGGATGGATGGCTCAGGGCGCCCTGCAGGGGGAAAATATCACCGGGAAATATCTCTGCAACCTTATAGTGCCCCCTTTTTTTCTTCCAGCAAATATTTTTTTCTTATATCCCTTTCATGACGAGGCATTTAAAGAGGGAGGAGGGGGTTGTCATTTGTAAGATGCGTCTTTTAATAAGGATTGGGGAAACTTGTCAAATTAATTTGAATGGAGCTGAGCTGTGATTAAGATAAAATGCCTCCGCTGGGTTGCCCCCCCCCCCCCCCCCCCCCCCCCCCCCCCCTCTCTCTCCGTCCAGCGACAGCCATAATTACTAAGACCTCTGGGATTCATCACCATTATAAATCCCGCCTGCTGGCCACCCAGCCTACAGCTCCCACAGGCTGACAACACGGCCACGCATGGCACATTTATTCCACGAGCCCCCCTGCCTGTGTGTGTGTGTGTGTGTGTCACATGTGCGTTCATTCATGTTGAAGCCTATAAGCTATGACTTAAAAGGAAATTATTACTCCAAGCAGCATCCCTGGATTATTTTTTTCCCACATCAGCATTTATCTATGAGCCTCAGGGTGGAGTTGAGCAAAAAGTTAACATCAGACCATCATCACCTCTGTAACTCCATACTGAGGCGCATTACTCATTCACACCCTTACCAAATGATTTTAGTAACCATATACTGCTTTTTAGAGAAAAACACTTACAGTGTAATTTTGTTATCTGATTTGCATACACTTACTACAAAAGATTGTACAGTAAAACAGCATTATGAAAAAAAGTAGCCTACAATAAGGTCAGACAGACAGAGCTTAACTAATTCTTAAAAAGTCATTTAGAAATATTTCTTATATCAATTATAAACCAGAAAAACAAATGTTATGTTTCCAGGTTGTGAGAAATCCCACTGGCTGGGGTTACTCATTTTTGTTTTGTAATAACGCACATGTCACACATCTACAAATGCTTATGGGTTTCTCCGTTTCTGGTAAGAACTCAAGTCTACAGTTATGAATCTTAATAAGGCATTAATGAAGGGTTTAATCCATGAAATCTGCAGGTCTACGTGGTCATTTATTAAACTGATTAAGGTCTAGATTGCACTTGCAGCCAAAAATACATGCAGATGGTTAAAAATATTAACAACTTTAAAGTTGTTCTTATTATTGGATTAAAACATATCTATAGCCCAAACTGATCTCTAAATTGATGTCAAATTAGCTTTTTATTATTTATTCTAAATGTAGAAAACCCAACAATAATCACATTTCATATCATATCAAAACAAGAAAAACCTGTAAATATTCCTATTTGCTGCTCGATCACCAGTAAATTGTTGGTACTTTAGCGTAAAAACAGACAATTAGCAGATAATTTTTTCTGTCAAGTGAATCAAATCAATAAATCACTTAAAATGACATCATGCCACAGAGGAATTAACAATCCCAGCTCTACTTTCAGCTCTAAGAGTAAACACAGTGACAGCAGCACTGACACATCTCAGTGACGCATGCCCTCCGTGAGCCGTGGGACACAGGCCTATAGGCTGCTGAGGGCTACACTTTGATGAATGTATTGAGAGCTGGCAATGGAGAGGACAAAGAAGAGGTATAGACTTTAACCACGCTAAATGTTTTACCTTTTCTTTTTTCTTTTTTATGATCTGTTTATACCTAACTTAGTCTAGAAGTGACATTTCGTTCATAAACAAGTGATATATTTGAGTTCAGAGATCAGTTTTGATTATTTTCCAAGCTCTTATTTTTTTACATATGAAAAACCACACACTCAAATGGTGACATTCACTGATACATCATTAACGCTAAGGATGCTTATCTTATAATATGGGGGTGTTGGTGGCTAAATGGGCAACTACCAATCAGAAGGTCAATGGTTCAATCCCCAGTGCCTGCAGTCAGCATGCCGAAGTGTCCCTGGGCGAAATACTAAACCTCAAAAGTGTATGTAAGTCAGCTAAATGACATATAATGTGGGCTTATGTCTTGTTTTTAGTGATTGTGTTGACCTGACATGTAAGACCTTGACCCTATAACGTCCTCATTTTCTTTCAACAGCTGTCAGATCATCGCTCTTTCAATGGCTGTCAATCATCGGGAGTGTGGAGATGTACAAACGACTCGTGCCTGGAAATACTTTTGAGGAATGCAACAGATACTCGTCACTGAAGCCCCAAAGCAGCAGCAGCGGTGGAGAGTGGGCGTGTTAACAGAAACAGTTCGACAGAAGTAAGTGTCAAAATATATGGGTTTTAGGTTTGGAGTCGTAAAGACTTCATAAAATACAGTCAGGTCTGTCAACGCACCTTCAAGCTGTGATCTCTGAGTGCACAGATCTTTCCTCATCTGTGTTCAAATCTCATCCTACCATAGTACACCTTTTGTCATATCTCACTGGAGCTGTATTCTATCATTTTAATTTCAATTGTTTCTTCTTTCTGTTCCGATTAGTGGTTTTAAAAAAAAAAACAATATATATAGGGTCCTAGATGACCCCAGTACAAACACTCAGTTGCATCCAATGCTTTTTTAAAAGATACAATAGAATAAATAGACGATTGCCATGGGACCTAACTTTTAATAATTCACCATCAGGCGGGTAAGGGCATTCAGTCATTTTAAAGGAGGCACACACAGATTTCCCTATGGACAACATCATATAACATGTACCAGGGTTTTTCTAGAAAAATATAGTATGAGGGCAATACTGTGGCGCTGATCTTGTATATAAGATATGTTAATTCTCGTGAGAACAATAACGCCCGTATACAAGATGACGCCGCGGACGTAAACAACAACTCAACGTCGGAGCTCCGTAAAAACAAAGCTGTCTATGCCGTGTGACGGTCTATTTCACATGATTTTGATATTTTTTTTGTAATTATATTGTTTTTGACGAACAGAAATATTGTTTTCTGGCATCGCTTTACATTTTACGGGGGAAATCTGCATTTTGGTATGAGGGCGCATGCCAAAAGTCAGAGGGCGCAGCGCCCCTGTTACACGGTTTAGACAAAACCCTGCTATGCAATACGCAAACTAACTTTTCTAAAAGGTTTTCTTATTCCAAAACATTAATTACATAATTGGTACTGTTTGACAAGAAAATAAGTTTAGCATTTGCTAAAGGTTGTTTCTTACTGTAGTTTATTTTTCTCAGTCGATAGTCCTTGTATTTAATATATAAGGGAAGAGTAAAGGTTATTCAAGAAATAAAACACAACAGTCACCATACAATACTAACTTTATTCAAGGTGATGTTATGAGTCGGAGTATATAAGTACCAGTTCACAAACACTCAGATTTTTGCATGACTCTTTAAGTGTTTGTGCAAATGTCAACATTTCTTTAGAGAAATTTATTATTATTCCATTTAAACTGTGTTTATGTAACAACGTTGTTATCAGATGTTCCGTGTAGAGACACATGTAGTCAGATTCTGTGTGTACCTTTATAATAAATGTAGTTTCTGGATGAAAATAATCTGAAAATACCTGTATTAGGGTGGTCTGTCCACCTTTCACCTCAACTCATGGTAACCTTAACCTTTTCCACCTCTCCAGCTCATTAACTCTTACTTTGGAAGGTACTTATAGATTATTTTCTTCTTCCTTAAAGGTGGGGTAGGTCATTTTGGAGAAACCGGCTCGAGTGCGCTAGAATTTGAAAATACACAACCGGAGAAAATCTGCCACTTCCTTACAGAGCCCCTCCTCCAACACACACGAACGAACGTTTGTGCACAGATGGAAGGCTGACAGGCAGGTAGGCCATCCAGTTATTTTAGCCGGGCCGGCTAAAATGATTGGTCGTACTTTTTACAGTACTACGGCTTCCACAGATGACATTTTTTTATGGATTTTTTGTCAAAGCACTTAAGATATTCATTGCTATCGGGATGTTAAGAGCATTCCTGTATTCCTTTGGAATATAACAAAAAGTGTATCTCGAGCCGGTTTCTCAAACTTACATACCCTACCTTTAAACAGACTTAATAATTTTTCTTCCTGTGATATAAATTATTTTCTTTTTTTTAATCATTCTGCATTGCCCCTTTAACACTACAATAAAAGCACATGTTCTTTTGACACCACAAAATTCACATGTGGAAAAACAAAATAATGATGAATCAGCCCTTTTGTTCTTAGACATGATTGACAGTTACATAAAAAAAAGAAAAAGGAACCATCCTTGAAGCGTTGTTTCCTGCCGTTTCAGACCCTTTGCATCTGTGTGTGTGGAAGCTCCTCTGCCTGAAACTCATTTTATCTTCCGGGCGATAATAGCCCCCAGGGGAAATCTGCCTAGGTGGTCCTAACCTCCGTCTGCAGATCCACGGCAGCATGTGGGTCTGTAGCAGTGGGAGGCATGAACCCTCGTGGCGGGCCTTTGTTCCTGCCTGCGTGCTCCCGCCTCGCTCCCCGTGCGTCTACTCCTCCCCCCCGTTTCCCTCGGCTTTCAACTGAACTGGGAGGAGTAATTAATAACCATGACCCGAGATTTAAACGTAGCCCGCATTTAGTCGATGGGAATAGAATCACAGAGGAGCCAAGTCATAAGACATGGGTGTTTGAGGGGTGATGGTGTGAATCCATTGATTCATCTGTCTCAATTTGATGCGAGCACTGCGTTCACATCTGTCACAAGAAACTGTGAAGATACATCCAGTGTAGCTTTCTCTTCTCGTGAAATATGAAAGTCCCGCAATTTCAATTAAACAACTAATTGATCAATTAAAAATATAAAAAATAAACTCAAAACTGGAT